GACCATCTCGCTTGTCCTCACCAGGCCCAGACCCAGTCTGCTCACTGCCCGCACCGACCTCCAAGCCCATGCCAAGGCACTCACCCCTCCACTTGTCACAACACCGAGGCGCCCCTCACAGTCTGTGGGACACCCAACCCGCCTCCCAGCCAGCCGCCGCTGCTCCCAGAGGACCTACGTGGTGCCCAAGGGTCTGGGATTTCAGACTTAAGGCTGCATCAACCTGAAGTCTCATTCTACAGCAATGGAGAGGTAGCCACTTGCTACAAGTAAACCAGAGATTAAAACAGAAGTCAAAGGGCTGGGCGTGGTGGCAAAAAAAAAAAAAATACTACTTTTAAAAGAATTTAAGAAAAATTAATTTTTGAACTCACAGGATAAAAAAGTAACTTATGTTACTTATTTCTGAATGCCCAGTCAAAAAATCCTAGACTCTTAGATCTCTATACATTAGAGCTCTTTTTAAGATCTCCTAATTTATTTTTTAGGTTTTTTTTTTTTTGTCTTTTTGTTTTTGAGATAGGGTCTGGCTATGCAGTTCAGGCTGGCCTTGAGCTCACTTTGCAGCCTAGGCTGGTCTCAAACTTGCAATGATCCTCCTGCCTCAGCCTCCTGAGTGCACATGCCACCATATGCAGCTCAATTCATTAATTAGATGCAATCCTTCACATGGTGCAGGGACAAATCTCATCTCAGAATTCAAACAGAGATATGATTTGGTCACCTTTATCTGATATAAGACACTGGAAAAAACCTTTCTAGTCAATTTTGTTATTTTGAGCCAGGGTGTGACTTTGTAGTTCAGCCTGGCCTCAAAGACTATCCTGCTTTGGCCTCCTGAGCCTGAGTGCTTCAGCATCTTACCTTGGCTATCTTTATCCCTTCCACAGCCACCACCAGAATCTCAGTATGTGACTTAACATCCCAGTGACTGCAAATCTCCTGGAATGTACCAATTGACACACCTCTCCTTCACCTACCCTGAAGCTACAAAGTTTGAAATTAACAACTGATCCTACCCTACACATTGACTGCAGCTCCTCCCACTTCAGCCTCAGCCTGCTGGGGTTATGAGGGACACTGGTCTGGACCACTCTGCTGGGCCAAAGCTAACAGATATTCTTAACTGTTTTAACCTAGTAAAGTCTAGAGAACCGCAAGGAAATTCTTGAATATGTAACAGCTATCTGGATAGGCAACTTCCTCACCCTAACCACACAAACACAAACACCCCAGCCTTAGCAGCCCTGCACTGGAAGACGAGTCTGCAGCTGCTGCTGGAAAGTGTCAGGGACTGAACAACCTCGACGCTGTGTCCATGGCCTCAATAGTTTCCTTCATGATTTTGTCTTTTTGAGACAGGGTCTCATGCAGTTCAGGCTGGCCTTGAGCTCACTTTGTAGCCCAAGCTGGTCTCAGACTCACCAAGGGATCCTCCTGCCTCAGCTCCTGAGTGCTGGGATTATAGGCATATGCTACCATGCCTAGCTCTGACTCCTTTATGATTTTTGCAGTTCACACACACCTAATTTTTAAAAGCTTTTCCCTCGATAAAAACATGATAAAAAACATGATACTTAGATAATAGTACTGTGGAGCAAATTAGTCAATCAGACTTATTAAGCAATTACAAATATTTCTTATACTCCACGAAAAAACATGAAGCCTAATAACATATTAAGCCAACACAGTACCAAAATATAAAATTAAAAAGTAGAAAATATTGAAAAGGAAATCTGGAGAAAGCAATCTGCAAAGACAATCTCAGAAAATAAAATATGGGAGGGAGGGAGATGTAGAAAGCACGCTGGTGTCATGTCCATGTACCAGCAACGCCTGATGAATGCAATCATTATGTACTGCAAACATGCACTAAAAAATGTTTAAAAAATAGAACATGAGTATCACTGCCCCCAAACAGTAAGTCTCAAACAGTTATTTTATTAGGAGTTAATGGATAATCTCAGCTACTAGGTAGGCTGAGGCAGGAGGAGCACAAGTCCAAGGCCAGCCAATTCAACCAGAGCTGTGCCAAATAAAAAGTAAAACAGCTGGGAATATAGCCTAGCAGTAGAGCAGTTGCCAGCATCCATGAGGTCCTGGGTTCTAACCCCAGCCTCAAACTAGAAAGAAAAAGAGTACACACAAATGGAAGCAGTGCATCTTCTCAGGAAGCAAAACCGTTTTCTACGGAGAACTTGGAAAATACAAGAAGTACAAATAAAAAATCATGTGCACCTTCCTGCACAATCACGTCCAATATCCTGAGTCCTACCTCCCAGAGACATAATCAGCCCTGGAGCAGTGCGGCTCAGTGGCCGATCCTGTGCCCAGCACACACAGGTCCTAGGCTCTGATCCCCAAGGACAGGGGCTGGGGTGGGTGTCGCTTCTTGTTCTTTGGTTGAACGAACAAGACAGGTTTCTCAACACTTAGGGAAGCTGAGGCAAGAGGATCACAACTTCCAGGCCAGCCTGGGCAACTTGATGAAACTGCCACAAAATAAAACGGGTTCAGGATGCAGTTCAGTGGGAGAACACCCCTGGTCTGAGTCTGTAGTACCACACTAAAAAACCAGAACAAAAAAACCCTAGCTTTTATGATGGACTTAAAGAGTTTTGAAATAGGGCCTGTGTAGCTCAGGCTGACCTTGAACTCAGCATGTTGTCCAGGCTGGAGGAACTTGCAAGATTGGCCTGCCACAGCCTCCAGAGCTGGGGTCACAGGCATGCACCACCACTGGGCTACAGCCTCGTTTTGCTTTGTTAATTTTTTTGTTTGTTTGTTTGTTTTTTAATATAGGGTTTCCCTATGCAGCTGAGGCTGGCCTGGATCTCAGGCTGTCCTCAAACCTGTGGTGATCCTCCTGCCTCAGCCTCCCAAGTGCTGAGATTACAGGCTGAGTGCTGGGCTTACAGGCATGCACCACCATACCCAGCTCCTAAGACTTGGTTTTTAATTAAGCTATTTCCTCACCTATTTTCATTTTAAAGTATTTCCCACATCCCTTAAGCATTCTCTAGGAATAATTTAATAGCTTGAATAGAATCTCAAACTTAAGCCGGGATGGTGGCCCAAAGCTGTAATCCAGGCACTTAGGAGGCTGAGGCAGGAGGATCATTGCAAGACCAGCCAGGGACACAAAGCGAGCTCAAGGTCAGCCTGAACAATATAGTGAGACGCTGTCTCAAGAGAAGAAAAAAAAAAAACAAACCCCCAAACTTTGTATAAATGCATTAATGCAACATCTTCACTTTCCGAGTCCCTTCCCCTGCGTGACCTGCAATCAAGAAAGAAAACCATTCACACTAGCCAGCTGTGAGAAAAGTCCCCTGAGAAATGTGGGGCCTGCTAAAATTTAAACCCAGACCTGTAATGCTAGCACTCTGGGAGGCTGAAGCAAGAGGACCACAAGTTCAAATCCAGTCTAAGCAACTTAGTACACATCTATGTCAAAATATAATTTCAGCTGTATGACAGCCTGGGGATGTAGCCCCATGGGAAGGCCCTGTTGTGTAGTGACATTTTAAGCACTATCCAGTAGCAGTGACCTTATTGGAAAAGGCAAATCACCTCTAAAATTGCAGTACCAGGGGCTGGGGATTTAGCTCAGCGGCACAGCGCCTGCCTGGCAAGCGCAAGGTCGTGAGTTCGGTTCCCGGTACCGGAGAAAAACCAAAAAA